CCCGCCCGCCCCCCCCCCTTCCCTCTTCTCCCACCTTCCAGGTTAAAAAAGAAAAAGAGAAAGAAATCGTTCAGGTAACCCGGCTATTTGTGTGTGATCGGTAAATATTTAGCTTCGCGGTCTCTCCCGCGTCTCCGGCGGATCGATAGATCCGGCCCCGAAGTCAAGAGGGGAGGCGGGAGGGCTTCGTTGTCCGAGGAGAGGAGAGAGACGGGCTTGCGACGGAGCCCCGGGCTCGCTTCCCTCCCCCCGGCGGGGGGGGGAGAGGGGGGGGGGGGGGGTTGCAGGCCGAGCCTAGCCGCGCTTCCTCTGGAGTAAGCGGCGCCGAATTCCGCGGGGTTTAAGCGGCAAAAAGATCGACGGAGGCGCAGAACAAGCGCGGGAGGGGGGAGCCTCTTTCCTGGGCCAAAATAAGACGTGAAGGAACCGTCCAAGACTCTCTTACACACACACACACGTTGATGTACACACGTGAACACGGCCTCTGCCCGTTTTACACGTGACAGGTAATTGCCCTCTCCCCCTCGGACTTCCGACGTGCCAGCGCAGCAGTCAGTCCTCGGGTCTGCTTCTCAAATCGGAGCGCGAGTGTGGAATTGCAGGGGGGGGGACGACGACTTTGAGTTTCACGCCAAGCTCTTTTCTCCCTCGAGCGAATTATTTGACTTCGGGGTGTCTCTTCGCCCCTGCAGGCGGATCTTCCCAGTATCCAGCGCTAGCCGCTCAGCGCCCCGGGGGAAACCGAGGCAAGGTGTTTTCTGAATGCTCCTGCCCGCAATCACGCGTGTCGTGTTTCAAATGCGGCTGGTGGGCGGGGGGGGCGACGGGGAGCCTGCCTTCCGGAGAATAATTAATTGATTGATTGATTATCAGCTCCCTGCAGCGCCAGCCCTGGTGCGCCTCCTCCCCCCCCTTTGGTGGGCAGGGCTTCCCCCCGCAACCCTCGCCGGTGCCAAACTTCCAGTTAGGGGCGGGAGATCGAGAGGCAAGCGGCGGGCCTGCGGTCCCTTTTGCTCCTCTCCCCACAGCCCTCGTGTCTCCAGTGGCAATCAATGCGCTCCCACAAGCAAGGACGTCTTGACATCACAGGAGAGGCCGACCAAGACCTGACTGTGGGAAGAAAAGTGGCGCACCATCGGGCACATTATTTTAAGTGCATAATTATAAATGGACATCACAAGCCATGTCTTTATACATGTAGCGTGTTTTCCTTCCTTCCTTCCTTCCTTCCTTCCTTCCTTCCTTCCTTGTTCAGTATAATCCTCTGTCTGTCTGTCTGTCTATCTCTTTCTCTCTCACACACTATCTGGCCTACCGACTGGGTACCACCTCTTACAAGGAGAACGATCCCAATCCCCTGCACACCCTTTGTGTAAAGCGTTGGGGCTCCCCTATTCATTACCTCCCGGGGATGAAGCAGGGAACAGAGGGGAAAACTTCCGGCCACCTCGTGTACCCGCGTGCCAGCTACGTGTGAAGCCAGCAGGGCATTCCCGGTATACCAGAAAAGTGGTCCCCTTTGGCTTTGCTGGAAGGCCTCTATCGGCGCGAAGACCCGGAAGCTTCACGTCTCCGTTCTCAGAAATACCCCCAAAGGGTCGTGTGAACTCGAGTCTTCAGCCTGTACCGCCTTAGACCGAGTTCCACCGTTTTCAGCCTCCCCTTAGAAACAACGACGGGTGTGCATAAAGCTGCCTGCCCTGCGTCCCGACCCGCGCCTGCTTACTCGGGAGTAAGTCCCCTGGCGTTTTTTCCCCAGAGACACGTACCTAAGCTTGCGTTCTTAAGACGCCCTTGCGTTGGCAGGATCGTGCCCGTACGTTGCAGCCCTACACACAGGGGTCTATTATTCCTGTCTCGGTCGGAAGAGACTGCCATATTCATCTCTCTCTCTCTTCCTATATAGAGGGATTCCCAACTGACAGATGTGTGTCTGGAACAGCATAAGGAAATGCACGTGTGAAAACAAACATAAATAAAACGCATAGGTGTCTGCGGCGCTCCTGCCCAGCCTCCGGCTCTTCCAAAGCGCAGTGCCACACGGATGAGGTCTTTGCCCGGGAGCCATTGTCGTGTGAAGAGTCTCTCTTTGTGTTCTGGGGAGGGGTCCCAGACAAAAGGGACGGCTCTCTTCTGCCCTCGGTTGTTCTCCTTTTTCCTTTCCTTATTTTATTTTATTTTATTTTTGGCTCCTTCTGCACGCCAAATAAACTGACAGGTGTCTTTAGAATTTGGCTTGGGGGGGGAGTGGAGAGGGGCTTTATGCCGAGAGAGAGAGAGAGAGAGAGAGAGAGAGAGAGAGAGAGAGAGAGAGAGAGAGAGAAGCCCTCTCTTCCAGGCAGGTAAAATAGCAACAAGGAAGGCCGGGGAACAGGATAACCGCCCCTCCTCTGCCGTAAGAATCCTCTGTCTGGTTAGACATCTCCCCTTTTCCTTGAAGCAAGCTTATCCCTAGAATATTCCTTTCTACTAAATTGGCCTGTCTTGACTGCTCCGATCAAACAATTTAATTAGTGGGCTTTCTTGCACGGCGGGGTGGGGGGGGGGAAGGTGTGGAAAGGGTGCGTGTTTGTGTGCCTGCGTGCGTGCGGGAGTGGGATCTGCCCCGCGTTTATTGTATTTAGCAGGACTACAGGCAGAAAAACGTCGGGCAAGTTTTGTGGTTGAAAGAGCACCTATGCGTTCATTGAGAGGCGCTGATCCGCAAAGCCGGCGAGGACAAGGAAAAATCGATTGCCCGGACCTTCTCTGTCCCTTTCACACCATTCAAACAACCCCCCACACCCCTCCACCAACCCCCACCCTCCCCTTCTCCTAGTCCTCCCAAGACAAAGCCCCCCAAGCTCCTTGGAATGACTGGGGGGGGGGGGGGAAAGGTGAGAGAAGAGGACAGTCTAAGTCCCAGTCTTCCTTGATCTTGCTGGGGGGGGGGGTGTTCTTCTTTGTTTTTAAGCGCTGGTGTGCATATCCATACACACATATATATGATCAGACTTTTTGCTTTGTTCTGCAGGACTTCTAGGAACGCGACGGTCTAAGAGAGAGACGGCCAAAGGGTATCCTCCGCCTTCCCAGTTGGCGAGCTCTCCGGGTTAAAATAGCCACTCACCTCTGACCCTTTCTCGAGCAAAGCCTCCGCTATCCTCATAACTTCAGTCAAACTTTGGAAAGCCCTGGAGGGAGGGGGGGGGGTTAAACAGGGCTCGGAGACTGAAGCCATTTGTAACCGGTTGAATTCTTCCCCCCCCCCCGCGGCCGCCCTCTCCACAAATACCCCCTTCCCCACTAGAGAGCTTTCTCTGTCTCCCAACAGGACAACTGAAGGCGTCGGGCGGTATTAGGTATTCATAATTCTCCATCTCAGGTTGGACGGCGTTTCGACCAGATGCCGGGCGTTGCGGGAAAGGCCAGCTTTTATGGAAAGGGCAGCCAACCGCAGAGTCGATTTCATTCCGGCTCTCCCTCGCCCCCCTCCCCCCCAAAAGAAATATACCTAGCCGGGAAAATGTACGTAGGACAGGAAAGGGGATTTATATTAATCTTAAGAGAGGTAGGCTCAGTGGTCTACGGTATCTCCAAGACTGTGTCTGGTCTGAACGCGTCAGGTATATTTATCCCTTTGTGGGGAGGGGAGGGGGCACGAGATCGAAGCATTAAGCAAGATCCCCACCCCGCCCAAGTAGGATATATTCAGCTCACTAGGTTGTGTCTCAGTCTTCTTCGGGGTCCTCAGGACGACTTGGGCAGGCCACATTAGCGGCTGGAAAGGCCCGCGCCAAGAAGTTACCCCCCCCCCGTCCCCTGATCAATACCCTGCCTAGTTCCCCTCCCCGAAGAGTCCTCCGCCTAAGAAGTCATTAGACCTGCCTTTCTAGTTCTCCAGCATTGTTTGAGGTGGGCCAAACCCATTTGTAAATTTCATTAGTCCCTGTAAACATGCAATTAACGCTCCAAAAGTGCTGGAGTTAATTCCCTCTTTTTAAGACTAGGGAAAGGAAACCTTGCAAAAGATATTTTTAAAGGGGGGGGAGGGGGGAGGTATGAACCTTTTATCACCTGTAACATTTCTTGCCATTACAAATTCCCCAGGCTGATCTGGTGGCCTCTCTTTACCTCATCCCCATTGTTACATATATATATATATTTATGTAAACTGTTTTTAAAAACTGGAAAACAACAGAGAGGGCTGGCAAACACAGATTTTTAAGGAAAAGCAAATAATTGCTTCCTTCCTCCCCATCACCATCCCCACCCCACATCCAGTGAAAAGCCATTCTGGGGAGGGCGGGAGAGACAGGTCTCCGAGGAGAGACTTCATTTGAGGCCGCCCCCTCCCCAAATGCTTCCACCACCCCACCACCACCACCCCAAAAAAAGCCCTGGGAAAGTGCTCCAAATGGGAAGGCAAGATTTTGCTCTGGCTGTTCAGGTTTCACTGAAATCGGCACCCACAACCGAACTCCCACGCGGGACCATAAATAGGCGGGGGTCACTTTGAAAGTGACTTGGATTGGGAGGGGGGGTCGGTCCTGTGATGGAGGGGAAACTAAATACGTAGGAAGAGGGGCACTGAGGGGCTATCGACCTGGGCTCAGGTAGTTCACACCTTTTTGGTTTCCCTGTTCAGGACTAAGCCATTTCTGCTCTCCCTCAACTGCGCCCCGTCCTTTGATTCCCCCCCCGGGCTGTTCTGCTTTCCTTAACCCCCCCCCTCTTTTCCAGTCGGGGAGGGGGAGGTGGTGCGAGTATGTGTGTGTGTCTTTCCAAAGTCTCCTCTTTCCAGCCCCAAAACAAGGTGTAACCGAGCTTTCTTCCTTCTAAGGAATGAGAAGAGAGGCAGAAAAGACGCATCTCCTACCTTTAACATTTGGGTGGGGGCTCTTTCCTCCCCCCCCCTTCCTTAAAGGCGAATCGTGCATTCCTCCACTACTGTGGAGAAAACTCCCCCCCCCACGTCCCCCCCGTTTCAATTTAAGGGTGTGCGTAGAAAGGATTTTTTTTCTTCTTTTTTTTAAAATCACCATTATTTGGGGGATCCCCCCCTTTAAGGCTTAATGCAAATTTCTTTCTAGATTGAGAAAGATCTTATCCTTCCCCCTCTCCTCGCAGCTTCCCCCCCCCCAGACAGTAACCTCCTCTCCCTCTCTCTCTCTCTCTAAAATCAGTTTGCACAATCGCTTAGATAAACACCAGGAAAATACGTTTTCATTGCCTAAGGGGGGGTTTTCTTTTGGCCAACCAACATTTTGTTTTAAAAAAACCTCCTTGCCTATCGGCTGCCCAACTAAAGAAGAAGATGCAAGCGATTTGGGATCTTGAACAAGGCAAATATGCTTTGGGTATGTTTGAATGCTCGTTTTGAATTTCTCTCTTTTTCTCACACGCCTCTCTCTCCTTGCTATGTGGTTTGTGATTATGCCGGTTTCTCTCTCTCTCTCTCTCTCTCTCTCTCTCTC